CCATGAGGGCGTCCTCATTCCATGAACAGTCGGCAGACAGCAGGTGGAAGTCAGTGATGTACTCCATCACTGACCGATCTCCCTGTCTGAGAGTCAATAGTCCCCGGGAGGCTTCCCTACTTGGAAGAACTGGGCAAAAAACTCGGATTAGTTCCAAAGAAAAATCGTCATAAGAGCTGCAGAGTTCAGGATTTTTCAGCCACTCTGACGTTCCCCATAATTTAGGCTTTCCCACTAACAGAGATATAACATAGCCACCCTGGCACGATCAGAAGGGAAAGCAGAGGGCTGTAACTCAAAATGAATCTCGCACTGAGTCAGGAAAGCTCTGCATTGATCAGGATCCCCTGATCAATGCTGAGCGGCAGCTGTCACAGGCGGAGAAGCTGGAGCAGCCTGATTACGCAGGTAATCAAAGATCTCCTCCATGCCTGATTCTAGACGGGAAATGCTTTGATCCACGTCATTTCGCCACTGCCCGTCTGCCGATGGGTCCATGTTTAGGCCAGGTTATTCTGTAATGATCTCTGAATGTTGGACCCAGAATTCAAGGCGAGACAGGCAGTGGGAAAGTTCAAAGCGTTTATTAAACAAACAGGTTAGCGGGGCTGCTCATCTGCTGGGGGGCGGATCTCTGCAGGGATAGGAGAATACAGGTCAGAGACTGGATGAGGAGCTGAATACGACTTGGAGCTAGTCACTGGCCTGATTCAAAGTTGAGTCCGTTGGCGAAGAACACAGCAGAATCCAGGAGGGAGGTTTGACTGCAGTTGCGGCGGGCGACACCCCCAGAGTTCCTAGAGAGCGAGGGGAGCAGGCGCCAGCCGATGCCGAGCAGCAACAGAGTCCAGAAGGGAAATCCGAGGCCGAAGTCAGAAGACAGTTCCAGGTTCAGAAGCCGGTAGAATCCAGGACCAGATGCGACAAACAGAGCAGACAGGGGGAAGGCAAAACTCGAGATCCACAGGACAGAAAACTGGTCATAATCAGGGAAACAGACAGACTAAAGATTGCTCGGAAATGTCACACCAAAACACACAAATAACTTGGCCCTGATGGGAGGCAAACACACAACTTAAATATTAGAGGAACCAGGTGGAAATGATCGGTGATAATCAGCCGCAGAACCAATAAGACAGCTGAGCAAGGAGTAAAGAAAAAAAACCAAACCATCAGCGCCAAGATCGTGACATTAACCACATTAGTTTGTCTGATTGTAGCAGCTAGATGCTCAAGCATCCCTGCCTGGTGCCCCTCTGGAGACAAAACCTGGAAGATGTTTGATCATTTGTCCTGACACAAGCTGCATTTGCTCTCCTGTTGACACTCCTTTCCCAGCGTCAATTTCTCAAGTTATATCCCCAGTGGCAGCCACCGCAGCTCCCTCCCCAGTTGCACCCACTGTAGTTCCATTCACAGTATCCGCTGATGTCCCTGGCTCTGGATTTGCATTAACCTGAACAATCTCTTTTTGAATATTTTCAGGGCAATTACAAACTGAATAGCCCTCCTGGTTACATCCAAAACACTTTATTTCCATTGTGAAAATAATAGTTTTCCACAATTGTGAAATCATGGCCATCACCCTTAAATTTCATTACTATGCTAAATACCTCAATATCATTTTTGAGAATCATAAACACTTGTCTTCTAAAAGAAACAACATGTATCAACTTTGCTCATTTGCAACCCGACAGGAGCATTTTCGTTGTCAACTCGACTTGACCATGATGTGAAAAATCCTTCAGCAACACATCATGATGAAAGGTGGAAAATTAGACAGGATGATTTTTTTGGTAAGGTTCATTAAAGGAAAACAGTAGTTTGCGTATTTCTCAAAACTATTCCACTCTCAACTACGCTGTTCATCTTGTCAATCGAGTCCACTGCATTGTTCATCCTGGACACTGCCTTTCCACTTTCAACCCAAAAAGTTTCCCTACAGCCAAACGACACTCCTCTATTGAAAAATCCATGGCAACTGGCATTTTAATACCGTGTCTACATGAAAGGCTCCTAAAGCCAGCAGCACTGTAACTTTTTCCAGCCATCACCTGCTGAAAAATTCACTATTAAAGCACCAGTGAAAATGTGCAAAACTAATGAAACACCATTATAAAAAGTTAAGTTTAAACCTTTAAAAAACCTCACACTTGTTCTTCTGCCACTCCACACATGCAACCGACACTCACACATGGGCACTCTAGAAAGAGAGAGAGAGAGATTTTAAATTTCTATTTAACACATTTTTTTAATAATCAACATAGTATCACAAACTATGTAACAGAAATTCCAACCAAAAAGAAAAAGAAAAAACATACACCACAGAATACATTACATTATTACATTTCCAAAAATGAGTTCTCCTCCTACCACACTACTTTCCCATAACTCCAGATGCCATAGAAAGTATCTAAATCTGAAACTGATTTGTAAAAATTTAATTCAAGCAATAGCCTAGACTTCACCAGATTAATAAAAAAAAAGTCAAGATTCCACACTTCCACCACATTTCTCTTTCTAATTATGTACACAGCCATTTGAATCTGTCCTAACAAAAAAAAATATTAATTGACATTTACACTTTTTTAGGGGTGTGAATTTAAATCCACAAATAAATCCATGTTTAGTGAACATTTCTCCATATCTGCTGAAAATAGTTCTCAAAAGCACAAAAAGAGCCGACAGACGAACACAGTAAAAAAAAAACAATGTTTCTCTCTCTTCACAAAATGGAAATTTTTCTTCCACAGAGGGATTAATAACAGAAACAAAAGAGTTAACAGCTACAATACCAGGAAGGATTCTCCATTTTAAATCTACATGTTTTTTTTTTTTTTTTTTGTTAGAGGAGGCTTATGCAACAATTTCCATTCAGGTTTGAATTCAGGTTTTAAAGAGAAATGAGTTCCCCATAATGTTTTACTGTGTCCATTCAGTTGGTGTTGATTGACAGTTTTTTACAATCATCCTATAGATAACTTTTCCAGAAGTTCCCTCTAGGGAGATTCTTTTATTGTCCACCGAATCCAAAAAAAGGGCCAGAGCAGTTCTTCATTCCAGGAAACAGTCTGAAGGATGGAAAAGGATCCAACAGATTTGGTGACACAGAACAGTCATAATAATCAGTCAAAAGCGAACATTCAGGTTCACTTAACTACTTAACCAGTAGCACAAAAGCTGACCGACAAATCAAACAGATTTTATTCCCAAATAGGCAGCGAGCTTAACAAGATCATCCAGCCGAGGTCTGGCCAGCTCCACTTCCCTCCCAAGGCAATAAACTTTTGCAGTGCTCGCTGGGCACTATGGGATTATATGAGCTTCTGCACCACAGCCAAAACATTTCATGTTCTTGGAGGAAGCAAAAACCATATAATTAAACCCATCGACTCTGAAATTAAAGGACAGGTTAAGCTCATTAGTTGGGTCTTTTAGGATAATTAATACCTGTCTTCTATGAAACGACATGTTTGAGAAGCACAGATTTAAAGCCCAAAGAAACCATCTTTATGGGTGAAACTAGTTGTCCATAGCGTGACAACTCCTTAACAAGGAGATCATTTTTAATAAATGGAGGTTCAACTGAGATGATAATCTTTTTAGCTCGAGTAACCAGTGGGAGGATGGGGGTGAAGGTGTCATGAATGAAAGGAGCAATTGTGATCTTTTTTGATCACATCTAAAGTGAATGATATGGTTGAAAGTTCCCTTTCAACCAAAAAATTCACTTTAGATGTTATCAAAAAAGATCACAATTGCTCCTTTCATACGGGAAGCAGATTTCACACTATCACAACCCATCACTCCTCCAACAGCTAAGGCTGCCTCCTCTACTGAACAATTCACTGTCGGTATGATTTTGATAGCATGCTGATGTGTCAACATTTCAAACTCCGCATCGGGCATGATGCCAAAACACCAAACTGAGCCGGTAGCAAGAGCTACCAGATCAGTATGGAACACCCACAAATTAATAATAATAATAATAATAATACATTTTATTTAACAGCACCTTTCTTGACATTAACTTAAGAACAGATAAACAGTATGAAGAAGAAAGTGTTTAAAAAACACCTTACGGGAAAAAAAGGTAGAAAGAACACTCAAAAAAACACTCACTCTGACACTCCCACTCCCGCCCACTCTCGCAAAGAATTAGGATTTTCAGTCCCACTCCGCCCGCACCTATAATAGTTTGTCCCGCTCCTGCCCGCAATTCTCGCATGATTCCGACGTTCGCCTACTGCTCAAGGCAATTTGTGTCATTAGTTTGAGGAATTGAACATGCTGTGCTTAGCTGAGCACATTACTGGCCGTTTCTTCACTGCATAGTGCATGGCACGTGTTATGTGGCATGAGCTGCAATATCCAACATATTGTGATGCATATATATGATATGATAAGACATAGACTGATAATTTATGACTTTATTTTACTTTTTTTTACATTTTAAAACATGTTTTTAGTTTGCGGGACTGCCGCTTATCACTGCTCCCGCCCGCGCCTGCACTGTGCGCTCTGCCACCCGCCTGCTCCCGCAATGAGCTTTCAATATTTGTCCCGCGCCGCACTGCTTTGCGTTGGGTCCCGCGGGAGTACCACGGGAGTGCAGGGCTCTAACTCCCATCTCAAGCTCCATGAACTCCGCTATTCACTCAGAGAGAGAGAATGATAAGGAAACCATTTTCTTTAACTTAATCTATTCTGTAGCTGATGTTCTTGAGGTTCTTGGAAGAATATCCATTATAAATGGTATTGATTGTCTCTGCTTTATGAATAAGATCCAGAGAGTGAACAGAACATTGGCCACAAAAGAAAGGTATAAAAACTGTGTACAGTATAACAGCTGATAAAAAGGATCTGGTTCCAATAAAAGATTGACTTGTTTAGCATCACATAATGTGAAGGAATAGACATTCAAAGGATAACACCTTCTAATGTTCCAGATGGTTTGTTTCAAACTTTATCACTATTTTTTGTTTTCTTTGTTTCAGCAGATATTGGTCAGCAGGGGGTTGTAGTACAACATAAGACCAGCCTAAGGAGAAGGTGTGAAAGCGTGACTGAAGGAAGTGATGAAACAGGAAGTAGAACCCTCCTAAACAGAATCTACACTGATCTCTACATCACAGAGGGACTAAATGAAGAGGCAATTATGCCACATGAGGTGAAGCAACTGGAGAAAGTTTCCAAAATCCAGAACTTCCATGATACTCCCATCAGATACCATGACATATTTAAAGCCTCAGCTGACCAACACGGACCAATCAGAGTAGTTCTGACCTACGGTGTTGCTGGTGCTGGAAAAACCTTCTCAGTACAGAAGTTCACACTGGACTGGGCAGAGGGCTTGGAGAACCAGGATGTCAGTGCGGTGGTTCTGCTTTCCTTCAGGGAGCTGAACCTGATCAGAGATCAGCAGCACAGTCTTCTCACGCTGCTCCATGTTTTCCATCCAACCCTCCAGAACCTCCCAGCAGAGAAGCTGGCTGTCTGGAAGCTTCTCTTCATTTTTGATGGCCTGGATGAAAGCAGACTTTCTCTGGACTTCAACAACAGTGGACTTGTTTCTGACATCACACAGAAGTCATCAGTCAATGTTCTGATAATGAACCTCATCAAGGGGAACCTGCTTCCCTCGGCTCTGGTCTGGATAACTTCCCGACCTGCGGCATCCAATAAGATCCCTCCTTCCTTTGTTTCCAGGGTAACAGAGGTACGAGGCTTCACAAACGCCCAGAAGGAGGAGTACTTCAGAAGGAGGTTCAATGATGAAGAGGAGAAGGCCAGCATAATCATCTCTCACATCAAGACCTGCAGGAGCCTTAATGTCATATGTGGAATCCCCGTCTTCTGCTGGATCACGGCTATCGTTCTAGATGATCTGATGACCACAGAGCAGAGAGGAGAGCTGCCCAAGACTGTGACTGACATGTACTCACACTTTCTGCTGGTCCAGATCAGGAGGAAGAAGAAAAAGTACCATGAAGGGCATGGTAGAAGTCTGCAAGAGTTGATGGAGGCTGACAAGAAAGTTCTTCTGAACCTGGGGAGGCTAGCATATGACCATCTGATAGAAAAAAACATTGTGTTCTATCAAGAGGACCTGGAGCAGGTTGGTCTGGATGTAAAAGAGGCCTTGGTGTGCTCAGGGGTTTTTACAGAGATCTTCAAAAGAGAAAGCTTGATCTTCCAGACACCAGTTTACAGCTTTGTTCATCTGAGTGTCCAAGAGTTTCTGGCTGCAGTCTACATGCTCCACGCTTTCACTAGCAGGAACACAGAGGTACTGAGACGCTTCCTGGGAAAAGACTACACTGAAACATTTCTGGACGATTTTCTGTTGAGAGTTATGAAGGAAACCTTCAAAATTGAAAATCTCCACCTCGAACTGTTTGCACGCTTTCTTCATGGCCTCCTTGTTGAATCTAACCAGAGACTCTTAGGAGGCCTGCTGGGTCAAATTGAAAACAATCCAAAAACCATGAAAAAAATAATCAGCAATCTTAAGGAGATAAAAAACGGTAATGGCTGTCCAGATGCAGCCATTAATACCTTCCACTCTTTGGTGGAAATGGGGGACCTCTCAGTTTATCAGGAGATTCAACAGTTCCTCAAATCAAAGAAAAGATCAAAAAAGCTTTCAGAGATTCAGTGCTCAGCTCTGGCCTATATGCTGCAGATGTCAGAGGTGGTTCTGGATGAGTTGGACCTAGAGAAGTACAACACAACAGATGAGGGACGACATAGACTAATGCCAGCTATTTTGAACTGCAGAAAGGCTCGGTGAGTCTGGGGGCTTCATGTAAAAAACCGAACCACAAACATCTATGGTACATTGTTTTACACATACACATAAGAGTGTCATCTCAACACGTGTGATCTCAAAGCCCTTTATAGAGACAATACTGTCAGATTTGTTAAATTTTTCTAAAAAAAACAGTTAATTGCCTCAAGTTATTGACTTGCAACACATGCTCTTCCTTGATGTGCGTAGGGGCACGATTTTCACTTGCATATAGCTCCA